GGGGGGGGGGGGTCTGCCGGTGGAGGGCTAGAAGTGGAAGGTCGCCGAGCAAACACCCTGCTACGTGCGGCTACTTATTATCGTCACCAATGGCCAATACTGTCCTGGTCTTAACCCAGCCAGAAAGGAGCGGGTCTGGGTCTGCCTGCCGGGAACATCCTGCAAAGGGCAAAGATGAAGGTAGGCAGGCGCGCGCGAAAGGAAAAAATCCGCCCCTACAAGAACGGCAACCCAGATGCGGACGCGCCCCCGGCGCCCAGACCCGAGAAGCCCAGCCGAGCAGAGTTTCGGGGTGAAGGGGCCGCGTGACGGGGCTGGGGAAGCCAGAGATCTCCCTAAACCGTCCGCTCCCTGCCCTCCCACCGTGCCCAGGTCCCCGCGCCCGGGAAGGCTGCCTCTCGCTGGCACCGGAACGAAGCCCCGCGCTCTAGCTCCGAGCGGGGGGTCGCCCCTGGAGCACGCGAGCAGAATGCAGACTGCTCCCAACATCCCCAATCGTCCGCGGACAGCCTCCAGCTTCCCTCCCCCGGGACCCAGCCTCTTCAGAGAAAGGGTCGGGGAGCAGCAAAGCAAGTCCCTCCCTTCTGAGCTCCTTAAAACCCTCCCTAGCGAGGGGCGCACCATGGGCCCCTCAAACCCACAGAGGCATTCTCCCATGGTCCCAGTATCCCCCAACAGCCCCAGAGCTCGAGCTCTCACGAACGGCGGCGGATCTGCAGAACAAGTCCCCCTTTGCTCCCGACTCTGGCTCCCCAGGCCTCCCAAACCCGAGCGAGAGCAGACTCCTACGGCCCCTGTCCCCCTTTCCCCGCCAGCCCCTTCTTCCACCCTCCCCAACCATAAGCCTCCCTAAACGCCATCAGAACCAGCGGAGTGGGTCCCTCTCTCCTCCCTGGGCGTCCGGCCCCCCTCCACTGTCTCCGGGGTCCCCGGGACGGGCGCTCGAGCTCCGTGCCCCGGCGACAACTCCGCATCCCCCGCGCGCGCCGGCCAGGGCCGCGTCCCCTCGGCGGCCGGCACTCACCCGGGAAGCACACGACATAATGGAGCACGGAACTGGAGATTTTCAGGAACAAAATCCACCAACACGGTTCCAGTAACCTCCGCATGTCCGAAAACGCACATCGAAAAGAGAAAAGCAGGGGGGTAAACTTGTTGAATAAGTTCTTGCCTCCGTGTGAGCCTCCACTAAACCCGGGCTCTTCCCCTGCTCGCCCGTCCTACGGGCCCCCCGCGCTCAGCGGTCCCCCTGGAATCCGGGAAGCCAAGCGTCCTTAGGAAAGCCTCAAAAAGTGACCAGGAACGCGGAGCCACGCTGGGGTCGATCCTCGGCTGAGGAGGGCTGCTTTCCGTTCAAAAAGGAGCGAGGCGAGCGAACGAGGCGAGGAGGCGGCGGGCGGCGGCGACGCCTG